TTTTGAAATTACTAGGGCACCTACTGAGAACATTCGACATTAACAGGACACAGAAGAAAAGTGGGACCGAGTAAACTAGGGTCTAACTTACCTAACGAACTTTTGCAAATAATTGGCAGAACCTTGATTGGGAAAGATAGCAAAGATACAAACGTTATTAAGTACTGCAAAAGGCAGAAAATTGTGGAGAGCCGTGATCGCTCACATGCTGAGAACTCATAGAAAATGTCTTGCACAAATCAATGTACCAGTCTGATCACGGCCTCAAAAGTACCAGCGTAAAATGATTTGTTTGGAGTTCAAATCTTACCCGAGTTTTTTTTTTTTTGTTTTTTTTGTTTTTTTTTGTGAAGCCATGTACTTAATGAGACGATGGCACCATTCCCGATACATCCTGGGAAATCATTCTTCCGAATATCTTTCAGGAATGTATTCACGCGTTTTCGAGTGTTTTAGATGCCCGCAAATAATTACACTTTTAATATTAGTACTACCCCAAATTACAGAGTTCGAAACCTGTCAAATAAGATGAATAGTGAATATTTGTAATAGAGTTCTTATTTTGTACCTGTTGTCTTTTTGAGAGCACACTACTTATACCATAGTACATATCTTTTTACCATTCAATAAATGGATTTAAAAGATGCACGGTTTAACCATGACATTTCTACTAGAGACGAATTTTAATATGTAAACATTTTAACTTGCTCATTTACCAATAATTAAACAAAACTCGGTGTTAATCTGTGCATTCAAATATCTTTCACTTATTTCAAACTAAAAACTACAATAAGAACACGTACAATTTCCTCTAATGCTCGGCAATATATGATTCAACACTTTGCGCCTCAAGAACACGGAATTGTCAACAAGTCAAGATGTGATCGATACAGATCATTACTTAGCACATTATCTTTATTCGAAAATATGCCATCACATTCTATTGGCCAAATAAGCTGAGTGCCTTGCAGTAGTTTTAAACCTGAAAATAGGCAAGCATCCTCTGCTCATATATGATGCACAAAATATTAGGTTAAGCCTTTCTTCAGGCGTCCTGCCCATTAGTAGACTCTTTAAGCGTTCTTAGTTTACCACTCTTTTAAAAAACATGGCTCGTACGCACCACATATGATGCACGGGTGTAGAAATCACATGTCCTGTGAATCACATATGATGCAGCGGACAGGCAAAGGGTTAAGATGGGATGTTCTTGCACCTGCTGCATACTAAACAGACTTTAATATTACAGATTTGCATTTTTTTAAGCACAATAATATTTCATAAGCGGCAAAACATACAGAAGCAATATAAAAGTTTAAAACTTGTTTTTTTTCAAAATTTTTCCAGGGAAACACTGATTTTTTTTTTTAAACGGGGAATCGGAAACTTGCATTCCAGTTTGGTTAGAGTCGGTGAGAGAGACGAATATGCAATGTGATAGGTCCTGATCTGGCATCTAGTCTACAGTTCCTTTCTCACAGACGTACGGTGGCTTCCCTCTGTCTGTTCTATAAGTATTTTCACGGCAGCTGTTCCGACGAGCTACTTTCGCTGGTCCCCAGACTGCATGAATTTAAACGAGCTCCCAGACTGGCATCTTGGTTCCACCCTTTCACTGTCAAAACGGTTAAATGTAATCGTCTCTTCCACTCAAACAGCTTCTTCACTCACACGTCCCGTTTTTAAAACTCCCTTCCTCTTACTTGTTTCCCCGATGAATATAATCTTCAAATATTCAAGTGTAATGTCAATCGACATCTTCTGATACCTTGATCTTGTTCCCCGTCTTTCTCTGTATCCTCTCCTCAAACACGCCTCTTTACTCTTGTTCTCAATCCTCTGTAATCCCTAATCATAATAAACTCGAGTTTCAAATGACAAAAGATCAAAATCATAGTTAATAAGAACAGATAGAACTTACAATAATATATAAAATCTACATAAATGTTAAATTCACCACCCCTCTATCTCTTCTTCTTCTTTATATGCCGTGCCTCCTTAATGGCTCTCCACAATTTCCTGTCCTTCGTTGCTATTAATTAATTTTGGTGCTACGTTAGTATGGGGTCTACCTTCCGAATATCATTTATCAGGACAACGTAAGTGATGTACGAATTGAGAAAATTCTCTACATTAAAATAGTCATTAAACATAGGTATATACGGAATAAAACAAGGAAAAGAAGTCTTTATTTAATATAATATAATGAACGGATCAAAGATAGCAGTAAATAAATCAGTGTTATTGATAAAAATTTAATTATTTCTCTATTGGATCCTGCTATTTAAGTAATGGTAATTATGTGTCAAAAATAATATCGCCCAAATATCCGCCAAGGCTTCGGTGACACACCTCGATTCGATGGTCAAAATTTTTGATGAGGTCTCTCCTCCTCGATCTCACCAATATGCCTTATTATCTCATCCTTCAGCTGTTGAATTGTTGTTGGCTTGTTGGCGTAGACATTACTTTTGAGATGAAGCTAAAGGAAGAAATCTAAAGCCGTCAATTCGTACAATTGTGGTAGCCAAATGACTTCACTGTTTCGAGAGATGATACGACCTCGGAAATTCTCAATGCATTTCTGTTTGAACGTCCATTTTTGTAATAGGCTTTGACAACTTTAGTACGTTGTTTGATTGATAATCTTTCCATGTTCAAAATTGCCAAAGACTTAAGTTGTTAAATCTGAAAGCAAAAGAAAAAAATCATTAGACGGTTTAACTTAATTCACATTAAAAATCGGTCTAAGATATTGGAACAACCTTTATAATAATAAACCAAACAATTAATACCATATGACAAAGAAACTAGATTTAATTATTTTAATTAATACTATCACTGTCAGTAAAGAATTTGAACATTATTCTGAAATGCAATAAATAAATACGAAAAACAGAAAAATGTGTCTAGTTTATATAAAAAAATACAACGGAAGCCTTCATTCACTGTGTGCTGCTTACTCTCTACTCGAGTTGCGCATATTGTTTCACATATCGTCCGGTTTCTGCTCATATCCATAATTTGTTTAGGATTGGATTTCCGGTTCCTTATCAATTTTTCATTCTCTTTGAATCTGCTGTAACGAAAGATACAGTGACTAAAATAGAATGACGAATTGAGCAATGAAAAAGTTTAAATGAATTAGGAACAGAAAAAAACACGCATGGCTAATAGCAGAAAGTGACAGTTGAAATTTCTAAAGCACATATTGAAGAAAGTGGTCTCTGGCGCACACAGATCATAATGAAGGCAAGACGGACAGAGGAAGGCAGCGCGTCATCTACCTACTGAGCATGCGTAAATGGCTGACAGAACCGGCATTAAGAGAGGTAGCGAAAAAACAAAATATACAGCTACAGGAAAAGACAGGAAATCGTGGAGGGTCATGATCGCCCACGTCCTGCACACTATCTTCTTTGAAGCATGCTTTACATAGTAAAAGAGATACTTGTTTTTCTAACGTTCTTTATACTGTTTAAAACAGTTAGACATAATTTGTGTGAGAAAATATATACGCGTAAAACACTCAATTAACAATAAAACTATTAAAAATCTACTAATTATCGACCGTCCTGGGTATGACGATAAACTACATCCAGCAGCAAAGCATCTGATCAGGAGGTTTTTGAGGACCGTGGAACCACCTCTTAAGTGCTGATGTTCCAAAGTCCACCTGACCCGGGGTGGTAGCGCCTGTTGGGGTGCCAGATATGGGCAAAGAGTTAATCCCAAACTAGACTCAAAACACTATGAAAGTGTAAAAATATTTTTTAGTAACTGCAATACATTTTTGTAAAAAAATTTTATCAGCATTGAATTTTTGAATAAAAAATTATTGCCAGCAATACATTATTACCAGCAATACATTTTTGAAAAAAATATTACCAGCAATACATTTTTGAAAAAAAATATTACCAGCAATACATTTTTGAAAAAAATATTACCAGGAATACATTTTTGAATGAAAAATATTTCGAGGAATAAATTTTAGGAAAAATATTACCAGAAATAATTTTTGGAAAAAAAAAAGATATTACAAGCAATAAAAATTTTATCGTCATTAAATAATCCATTGAGTTTGATATGCCGTAAAACAAATCAAACTAATTATCAAATTTTAATAAAACTTTAGCGTTTTATTCATTTTTGAATGATTTTTTTCTTATAAAAAGAATACTTTTTGGTAGTTTGTGGAAATAATTTTCAGCTAATATTTAATTTCAAGAAATCTTAGAATATCTTTCAAAAAGTAAAAATACTTACATCTGTCTAAGTTTTCGGAGAAATAAAATTAGTTAAAATTTTATTATTCTTAGTCTTTCTAACAGTGATGTAAAAATCTGCCTGGAATCCAGAAATAAATAGGCAAGAATGAGAGAAAAATTCTTAAAATGTTTGTAAATTTTCTCCTGTGGACAGTTTAGGAAATTTGTTATTTATTTATTTCATTCATCTGTGTGATTTTATAATCTTCAAATATGAAATTTAAGAAAATGTTTCCAACCGAAGATTCAAACAAAACTTCACTTTATGTGCAAATAAAATGTATTTTTCCTGTATGGATAGTCCTTAGTGAAATGTAAAAAATAGTTCTTAAAAGAAAACATAATTATTGTTCATACCAGCATATACGTACATAAAGGTTTTGTCATTTAATGCCATTATTATTTTTAATCAACCCATGAAACTCTCCCATTAAAAAGTAGGTTTTCATCAGTCCAGAAATTTTGATTGATTCGTTTTTTTTTCGGCTCATCAACACTTTGCAGTTTATTTAAAGTTGGTAATATTTTTTATACACTGTAAGATTTTTTTTTAAAATTCTAATGACTGAGTGATAGAATTCTTACTAATCAACTAATTAAGCGGGTGGAGAAGAGATGGATTTCCCAAGGATATTTCCACATATGAGAATATAACTAATCCAACCGGAATTGGGATTTGGATCTGCGATTAATTCCGAGCTATAATTCATTACACCACCCGTATATCCAGGTTTACAACACCTGGTATTCCGAAGCGGTTATCCACCAAGGTACTGAAAAGACTCGACCTTGCTTAACTTCGGTGATCGTACAGGAATCAGTGTTTCTACGTGTTGTAGTCGTAAGTTTTGTGTAATTTTGGTTGATATAAAAATATTCCCATAAATCCATCTTTAATTTCAAGAAAGTAAGTTTAGTTTTTAACGACTCATTTTTTGTCAGTTTCCAAGATTTAAACCAACATTTAAACATTGAGATTTTTAAAATATTGACATACTTTTAATTTTTTTTTTTAAATTCAAATTGCAATAACTACAAATAAGTTCCCAATAAAAGCTGAGAATTTTTGTGACGTTTTAAAATTTCCCGGACTCATCAGTTTATTAAGACGTGGCAGTATATCACTTTCTTATTACTTGACACGTTAAATGATTTTCTGAGCACTTTTATTACTACCCGATTATTGGATAATGATAAAAATCCGTCCTCCAATTTAAGAACCTGTCTCCTTGTATCAAGCACATATGACAATGATAATTGCCTCCAGGAGGCATATGTTATTTCGTACGCTTAATTTTGTATGATCATTCGGTTGGAATTAAAGTCTTCCCAGTTTCTAAATACATTTGAATATTTAGAAACCGCCAGAATGTTCTCTGCAACCAGATTTCATTTTCCAATTTAAATATTCCTTAGTATCTGCCTTCCTTAACTAATTATTTCATACTTAAATAAGTACATTGCATTCTCTTCCTGAATATATAATCGCTTCTGCGTTGGGGTATGAACAATTTTCGAAGCCTTCTTCAGAATATAACCAGCATTCTTTTGTAAGGATATCTGTTTGTATTTTAGCGGCATATCAACTCCTTATGGGTCAGTTAATGCCGAAATTTAGTTTTCTTGCAAGCATCAATAATTTTCTTTACAAAAAAGTATTGCTGGTAATTTTTTTCACAATGTTTTGCTGATAAATTTTCTTTTTTCCAAAAATGTATTGCTGGTAAATTTTTTACTATGAAAATGCTTTGCTGGTATTATCAATATAGAACTGTATTTTTCTACTGTCATATAGTTTGATGCCAGTTTGCGGGTTAACTACAGAGTTCCTAGTAAAAAATGCGGTAAATTCAGGAAGAAATTTATTTACATTATTTACATTATTCGGACTAGTGTCCTCATCTTTTTCGCCATATTTATCACAACGTTTGGGCTGTTGTACGCCCCGGCCTTCTTCAGGTGGTTGGAATGTCGAACTGATCACAAGGCACAAGACACAGTGGATAAAGGCGTTGGTTAGATCCAGTGACAAGACCCAAAGAGTGTGAGTTCAACACCCGGATAAGGTAGTGGAGAACTTTCAGAGGGAAATTAACAGGAGATAACTGATAACTGACATCCATCAAACATGGCACGTGGAACTAGAACAGTCTACCCCAGGGAGCGAAATAAAGGGTTCAGTTCGACATTCCAACCACCTGAAGAAGGCCGGGGCGTAAAACGGCCGAAGCGTTGTGATAAATGTGGCGAAAAAGATGATAGTCCGAATTATGTAAATAATGTACATAATACCGCATCTCCGAAATTTATTTAGCTATCATGATTTATGCACAAACCGAACACTCATCGTAGATGTTCGAAATGTTTGCCTAAATGTTCAACACTAAAATTTAAGCGTGGTAACCAGGCGGCAGTAATTTTAGGGATAGCATCAAGACAAATTCCATTTCAAGCTTCAGTTAAGTCCCACTTCAATGAATCAATATCGACAATATCACGACAACAGTTTTACAAGTGTGTAAGGAGTATAATCCATATACAGTAATCCATAACATTCAGATCTGGGTTTTTAGAGGGCCACCAAGATGGATTAATTAGAGCTGGTGTATTTTCTCGGGGAATAAATTTGCCCCTTTTCTTTTTACTGGTCATCCTGTATTTTTCCATAGATGGGACCCTAACAGGTGCTACCACCCCGGGTCAGGGTGGACGTGGCAACAACCACAATGAAAATGTGGTTTCACGCTCTTGAAAAGGTCTAATGGCTTGTTGCCAGATATATTTCAATATCCCAGACGAAAGATATTAGCACCTAGAATATAGTCATATGTAGTATTTTCTTTCCGAATTTATATATTCTTGAGTATCTACCGTGCGAAATTCTGAATAAGAAACAAGATAATGATAGTTTTCAAGAAGATTGCTTTTTTAATGTTATTATATCTGTTTTATATATTATTGTTGTAACCTAGGAAGGGTTACTGAATGAGGAATAAACTAAACAGAGGTTGGAAATGAAATGGTAATCTTTATAACATCAACAAAATACAATACTCGCCAGCGGCGTGAAATAGGTAAACCACTGCTAATGGTGGACTACTTAGACAGAATATTACGTTATTTACCTGCCTCGTCACGAGGTAGGATGCAGCACAAGGCCAATTTTAATGTGGGGAAATCCGAGCCCGTGTTCTCAGGCAAAAACTGCCCGTAGACCCAGAATACGCGGGATCTGGTATCTATCTATCTCCCCGGACTAGACTCTACCCTTCGGCATAGCCCCGTCCGGGTTCCTCTCTGCCGAAAGCCAGAGTGTTCGACACGTCAAACACTTCCCACTTTGTCAGATGAGACAGCTTATTGCCCCCATTTACAATACATATTATTTATGAGGATTCGAACATACCCATTAGTGTTCATAAGCACGCTATATAACAATTATTATATCTGATTTAATGGTTATCATCATGTCTTTGGATAAAATATTACTCGAATAAAGACGGGGCATAATATTTCAAACGATAAATATATGGATATCATTGCATGACAGTTCAATAAAATATCACAGCAGATTAATTCAAAAGCTGGGTTAAACCCAAACAAAACTAATTTTTAATGAAAAATATTTACTGAAAATAGATATGGTCATGATATTTTTAAGATTATTGTGAAGAACTTACTAAGCATAATATTAGTCATGAGGAAAATCATTGTAATTAGTCATGTTTAGATCAGACTTCATTCATATGTGGAACGTGGTTAATAAATTATTATTGATTGAGAAAATTAAAAGTCCTTTAAAATAATTGGGAAACATCTCCAGAAAATGGTAAGGTGAATGCTCATCAACAATACCAATTTTCTTTATATCGTAACACCAACAAAAATGTTCGATAAAAACACTCATTAGTCACTATAAATACTGCAAATAAAGTAAAAGCATTCAGTGAGTGTACATACTGAATTCGGTTAATAAATTCGAGGAGTAGATATTGAATTCGGTTAATAAATTCAAGAAGAAATACTTTTAAATTTACATTTTCAGCATTATAGTCTAAGCAATAGCATAAGGTTAAAATATGTAATTCCATGACGATAAATAAAAAGAGCATAGCATGACAAGAAAGATTATCTGCTTACGTATATATATATATCATTATTAAGAAGAAATACCAAACTATTTTTTGATTATTTTAAAAAAATTTTTACTCATTCATAGCATGTCCAAAATTTTAGATAAAAATCTTGTTTATTTTTTTTTGTCAGCGAAATTACTAAAAAAAAACTTGATATCAACCATTTTTTTTAAATTTTTGTAAGCTAAGTTAAAATCCTAGTTTAAAATTCTTCCAAAAATCAATTATACGTTTTTCAAAATTTATTTAACAAAAATTAGCAAATTTAAAGAGTATTAAATATATTTTGAAAAAAAAAAAAAATTGCTTACTTTCTTCGAAGAAAAAAGGTTGTTTAAAATAAAATGGAGGCGATATTAATTAACATCGTTGGCTGTTGACAAGTGATGAATGATTGCTGTCATCACATATCGACAGCTAACGAGAGATTCGAGTTATCATACGGAAGGACATAATTGACGTAACGTTCTTTTTTTTACATGAACCAGCTCATATAGTACCTCGTAATTATTATAGAAAAAAAAACTTTCAGCATTCCAATTTCTTTTATTTTGTTTTTTTTTTATTACTGTAGCTTACACCATAAGTTTGTTGATACTATCTGTAGAAATTATAAATACTATAAATAAATTAAAATACAAGTGCTGTATAGCTTTTTGAGGGCAACTATAGCCCCCTAAATTCAATACTGATCTGCTATGATAAAACATTTCTATCCCAAGTAAAAATCATCACAAACATATCAAAAGTTATTTTGTTACACTACAGCCAATTTGAACTGAAAAAAAATTGAAAAATGACTTTTGTCATCATCTGAACAGAATATCATGGAAAATAGTGTTGAAATTAAGGCAAAATTTACTTTGACATTGCTGGGTCAAATGCCAGCCAGCCGACAATACCAAGCTGTCATCACCTTGTAAAAAATCCCTTTTTTTAAAATCTATGTTTGGACAATGGCTTGGTGTATTTTTGTTTTTTAACACCTTTTAAGCAGGGTGATGACAGCAACACTTAAGGATAAAAACCGAAAACAGTTTGTTTGAAATAAGAAATTCATATATAATTGAAATAAAGACGACTCACTGAAAACTGAAAAAGTGAAAACTGTAAAACAACTTCAAAAAATTGAAATTACAATGAAATATGTAAATGAAATAAATGATACTTTTAAAAATGTATTAATGTTAATGGGGAAAATGGCTTAGGATATTGTTTAATTTTTTTTTAAGGTGTAAAAAACGCTAATTCAAAAAGTTCAGCAGGTGTTTCGCACGAAGAATTTGCAATAATGTAATAGACGTTCAGCGGAGAACGCTTACACTCAAGCCACGTGATGTTTTATTGCTTGTGACCTCCCGTACTTTTTAATTTTCAACCATTTTAACGATTTTTATAAACGCAAAATTACATTTCTTAATTACTGCGGATCTTCTGATTAGTCAAAACGATACAATTTACAATGCGCTAAAACAGATCTCGTAAGGACACTTACGAAACGTGATGCGGCTTTTAACTAATTTTATAATATTTTATCAGCTTAAATGTAAAAATCTATTATAATTAAAAAAATAACAAATAATTATATTAAATATTCATTTCTCATCGAAAAAAATTTTGCTTTCAGAAAATATTGTCCATATTCATAAAAACCACTAAAAGAAAATAAAAGCATTTGAAATTAAATAATATCTTTGTTTCATTG